TTCCTTGTCTCCAGTTACATGACAAAGGCATAGCTGCTTTATGCTTAAAAAAAACCCCTCATCTATAAGCTTAGGATCATAACTGTTAAAATGCCTTGATTTTATTCCAAGAGTCATAACCTGCTGTATCTGCGCAAGCAAAACCATTTTTGACAGGGCAAGAGTAGGATCTGACTCCCTCAATATCAGAGATGGAAGAACTGGTGGCTCCCTGCTGGAGTGGATACAGGACACCTGATGTCCTAGTGCTCCCCCAGCATCCATCTCCCTGGTACCACTATTGCTACCCTGCCTAGGAAAGCAAGCTTCCAGCTGCATCTCTTCCACATCAGCTTCCCCTGGTAAGGGCATGTCACAGCCACACTGCTCCCCGGACACATCCAACCCCACACAGCCCATGGAGAGGTGCAGTTCTCTCACACCACACAGCATTAACCCTGCACCGTGTGCTGCCCATCACCCTCACCCTGCAGCTCCTGCCCATGAGCTGCCAGGAGTGCTGGTCTCTTAGAGCTCCCCTGCCTGGCTTCTGATATGCTACATAAAACTCTTTTCATTGCCTCAACTGAAATGCCAGATAAAAGCCACTCTAGTGAGAACCTGCAGCAGGCAAGAACTTATTTGGGCCTAGGTAAGAGAACAAGTGACTTGCCGGTTACCTGATCTCTTGCTATGCCCCAAATTTGTTTACAGAGATAGCCCAGCAAGCCAAATACTTCAGGTATCAGAGGCAGTCTGAGTTGCAAAAAGGAATCAAGGCAGTAGGACAAAAAAAGAAAACACCTCAGCATAAACTCACAAGCACTGGAGATCTGTTACCAACAGCTTAATTTTTAGACTTAACCTTTGAAGCACTAAGAGTAAACAAGCAATAAGGAAGCTTCTTCCTCCTTCCTAGGAGGACTATTTTAAATTCAATCTAGTCCTGTGCCCAAGCCTCAGCTGGCTCAAACTGTTACAGCTCTGTGGCCGTCACTGCAGCCAAATCCACCTTACAGCTGAGAAGCCAGGCTTGGCTCTCTGCCACCACATACAAGTATATGGGGACAAAGAAAAGCTCAAGCTAAGAAGAAACAGTAGTTTGTAGTCAATTATGTTGTTTAAATCCTTTTTTTTATCTAGTTCAGTCAAGACCTGAGGTCAGGAGAGTTGACAACTGAGATATCTCTTACAGCTCTTCATCTGGGAGCTTCCACATGAGTTTTGAGACTGTAAAATGCAAGACACTAGAGAATGTATCACCCAGCTCAATAGAAATATCATAATTTATTCTGTTTGTATAAAAAAGTTATAATCATGTAACAAAACTATGTCTTCATAAGAAGAAATATATTATTTCACATCATAAATAAATCAGCAAACATACAACCCTTGGCAACTCAAAAAAGCACTCGCCTTGTGCTTTCATGTCAGTGCTTGGGAAACAAGGAGAGCCGACAGATGTATACACACACAGGATTACAGTACCAAAAAAATACGAGGTATTTGGTTTCTCTATAAATGAAACTTTAGGTTTGTGAAGGCAAAAACCCGAATGCACTAATGTAAAAATAAATAAATAGGACTGTCATATAAAAGGGGACAGCATCAGTGTTGCTCAAAGTGTCCAGGAATGGGAATACTGATGAGCATGCTACTAAACATGAGCAGGCTTAGGACAGACAGAAGACCGGGAGGAACAGCTCAAGAAGAGACAGTGTCCTTTGATCTCTGTGTAGACATCCAGATAATTGGCTTGAAAAGTCAGTAACGCCTAGTTCTCTGGCATCGGGCGAGCTCCTCTCCATTTACAACACTGTTCCGAGATGCCCGGATGGTTCCCCACAAAACACAAGTGACTGGTGACACTGTCCCTGTAGTTATTGCACTTTGAGACAGTAAGTCTGAGTTCCGACTGTATTTTCACCCACTTTTCAGCAGCTCGGGGAAGTGGTGATAGGGCTCTGAAGATAGCTTAAAGCACTGGACGAGGTGTGAACAGGGATGGAGACTGGGAAGTTAAAGACAGTGGTGGTGGATGCTCCTCTGTCCAATACTGACATAGCAGGGCTGCCAGCTTCTGCCGAGCAGTTGGGGGCAAGGACCTGCGACTCAAACTGAAGCAGCTGCCCCATGAAGCTGAAGTTTGGGGAGATGATGCTTCTCCTCTGCTTCACAAACTCAAAGGCTTCATCCAGTTTGACTCTGTTGGTCCTCATGAGATAAGCAAGGCAGATGGTTGCTGAGCGGGAAATGCCAGCCTGGCAGTGCACAAATACCCTTCCTCCATCATTTTTAACAGAGTCTGAAAGAATTAAAACACACAGTTAGCCAACAAGTCCCACTGTCTCCAGAGGTGGGAAAGGACAGGCTGCTATTTTACATTTCTTTAATCCATCCCTTCCTCAGCCTAATAGGTGCGCCAGGTGCTTCTGAGACAAAGAGAGCCTTTATCCCGAGGGAACCAGCAGTCTAGCTATTTTCATTCTGGGCTCCAATTCCAATTATACTAATAGCTCCTCCAGGTCACTTTAGCAGCCTTGCAAGATTACTTTAATACTGATCCGCTTAAATTCACTAGCTCTTTTCTGCAAGAGTGATGCCTCTTGATTCAAGATTTCAAACAGCTTTGTGAAGCTAAGATTATTCCTCCGAGTAGAATAAAATTAATGGAAACGTTCCTTGAGCGTATCTCCCCAACGGAATGAAATTCCCCCATCTCAAATGTAGGTTTTACTAGGGAAAACAATACTCAAAACCCACTTCCCAGGGCACGCTGTCCCAGAAAAAAAAAAAAAAAAAAGAACCGACTGTAAAGAAAGCTCATTTACCTATGAAATCAATCGCCTCGTTAAACCAGGAGCTGATATCCGCCTTGTGGTTGTCCTCCACGGGGATGCTTTTGTACTGGTAGTGCCCTTCAAAGTGGTTGGGGCAGTTGGCCGAGACGTTGATCAATGCCGTGATCCCCAAAGCATCCAGCATGTCTTTCCGGGAGGCATGGTAAGCGCTGCCCAAGTAGAGGAAGGGCAGGATTTCCACCGGCCCACCCTGCAGCAGAGGACACAGAGGGTCGGTTAGTCTCGCCAGGGGGTTCCAGGCCGCCTCCCCTCCTT